TTCTTGATGGTTTGAGCTCCCCCTCATTTGGATCCTTTTGCTTCCTGGTTTGGTCAGTGGGGCTCTGTCTCTGCCTGGATCTTACCAGGAAGGTTGTCTGTATTAAAGAGAGGCTAAAGTTCAGAGTGTCAGTGGCGGTCAAGGAATGAACCAGGACTCCAGTACCCTCTCTCACCCCTCAGTTGGATAAATTTTCCTCTGGAGAATTGGGAAGTAGGTTAGGGAGGGGTGTTGCTCCAGCGGCAGGAGAGGTTTGGACTGCCATAGCCTGCTCTTCACACAACAAGCTGCTCTGTGGCCCCTAGCCAACTTCACACTGGTTGGTCAGGTCGGGTCTAATGGCAAGGAGGACGAGTAGGTCTTGTATGCTCCTGAAGCTCTGTCAAAAAGAAAAGGCAGCCAAAGCAGCAGGAAGACATGGTGGGCTAGTTCCCAGCCTTCTGTTCTTCCCATGAAATATTCCCGGTGCCGGACCCTCCCCACCCTAACCCCGCTCTGCAGTTGTCTGGGCTGGGGAGAACACGAGCGACATGGTGGCAGTGTCCCCACCAACACGGATAAAGAAACTTGGGAATATGATGAAAGACAAGAAGGTGGGGAAGCTGTGGGCGTGGTGTGTTGATACAGATTTCCTTTGGGACCCCCGGACCTGACGTTTCTGGTTTCTAGGCTGTTGCTGTGTCCTTGTGTTACTGCAACACACGCTTGTGTCTTGGGAGAGCAACTGATGGATGCAAGGGCTGGGAAGAGGGTCTTCCTCTGTTGCCTCTTGTTAGAGTTAAAACACGTGATGATCCTGACCAGTCTTTGTCCCCCCAGGGCTGACCCAGTGGTCTCTTTCCCTGTGGCTTCCACCACCCGAGCCAGTGTCGCTGTCACTCAGTTGTCCTGGTGGCTGGGGAGGACAAATCCCTTCCCTGTGTACAGGCTGGGATCCGTCTTGTGTCAGCTGCACGCAATCTGCTGCCTTCAGCCCCTTGGAGCCCCTGCCTGCCTCTTGCTAGCCCAGCCCGGATTTGGCATTCCCCGTCAGGTACCTGCTTTCTGCATTCCGAGTGTGGAAAGTGTTAGCTCGACATTTCCCACTCAGCTCCTAGGGACAAAGCAGGTCATGACTTACGCGTTTTATCATTAAAAAGATAATTTCTTCTAGATGTGTGCAATAAGACAATGGCACTGACCTGTGATCCTGACATTGCACAGCATTAATGATTTCCCTTTGCAGGTAATAAGCAGCAAATGTACACATTTTGGGGAGATCTGAATTCTTTTTTTCCTTTTAAGACTGCTGCCTTCCTAGGCCAGACTTAATTAGCAGACCTCATTATTTCCTCAAATGTAACTTGACTTCCATTGAATGAGAATTGTTCAGTGGATGGGGAGCAGCAGAGCGGTGCTGCAATATTCATATTGTTTTAATTGCAACATTAACATTTCATGCCGCTCCTGGCATACTTTCAGGTGCAGCCCTTTAGCTCAATGCAACGCTGTGAAAGGTTGGATCAGAACAATTAGGACAGAGTGACTGGATTTCTGGATTTTCCTCTTTTTTTTTTTTTTTTTGAAGTGAACGCAAGCCTGGATTCAATACCCAGCACTCCTCTTGTTGGGCAGAACAGGGAGTAAAGCACCCCTGAAGTGTAAATCCTTTTTTTTTTTTTTGAATAAAGGATATGTCGTAGTGCATGGTTAAATTCTCTTTTTGCAGAGCTGAAGCCACACAGGTACAAGTGATATGTGATCCACCAAGCTGATGAAACCTCCTGGGACTTGACCTTTACCAGGTGGTGAATCAGAGAACTCCCAAAATGTGTCCGGCCAGCTGGGTCAGCATCACATACAAGCTGGCAGGAAAAAGGCTATTTCCCACTTTTCAATTACTTCCAGGGCTCTGGAACTCCTGTGGCTGGAAACGACGCTGCGAACAAATAACGACTGGGTCAGTGCAGATCCTAAGTGAGCCCAGGGATTACCCTGCTCTGTCCCCAAATTGCATGTAGGGTTTGGCTTTTTAGCAGCAGGGGCAGAGAATACTGAAATGCTGGACTCAGCCTTAGCCAGCTCCGCTCACCTTCGCTGCCTTGTCATGTACTCATACGCTTGCCGCTAAGCTTTCCCGTACCAGCGAGCGGGGACAAGTGATGGGAGTTCCCAGCAAGAGCAACTGCAGGTTCGACCCTGGAACAGCCTAATGACGGTCTCCTAATTGGGTCACTGAAGGGAGGTGAGCAAGGAAGGCCAGCCAACAGCTCTAGTAAATGGCTTCTTGGTGTTGCTCTCCGGCTGTATCGCACCGCGCGCCGGGCAAACTGTTTAATTGACTTTAAAGGAGAACCAAGAGGCTGTCGTGCCCCCTTCGGCCTTCAGGAGGAAGAGGAAGGGTCGCTGGGGCTCCCTCTGCCCCGCCGAGGGAAGGCTGCTCTTTGCACCCACGCTGCTGCCTGCCAGCCCCGTGCTGGCACCAGCTTGCTGATCTGTACTGGGACTGGTGAGTGGGTCCGGTCTGCAGGAAGGACCTGTGTGTAGAGGAGCAGGCTCTCGCTCCCAGTAACAAGTACCACTAATCAGTCAACTTGCTAATGGGTAGCTTGATGTGTGAGACAGACGGCTGTGAGCTCCCCGGGTTGCTGCTCGGACCCTGGGGCTGCCTTCCCGGCCTTTGCTGGCAGCAGCCCGTGGATGAAACCCCTTGCTGGAAGGTGAAATCCCTGTCCGTGTGGCAGAGAAGCTCTGGGAGGGTTGCAGAGGTGAGGGAAACAGCTCATCAGCGTTTCTCCTTGGAGCTGGGCGTGTCTTTTCCATTTCAGGGAGCATCTGAACTCATCCATACGGCTGGGATGGCAATTTCAGCTGGAAATGCAACAAGACCTTGGTTTGGTCACTGGAAGAATGGTAAAGGAAGAGCACACAGCCCATTTCCAGAGGCTTTCCAAAGGCTAACGTGCCATTTTACCTGGCTCTCCTATCAGCCAGGCAGGCTTGAAACCTTCTCCCCTTAGTACTGTATGCAGTGGGATCCACGAAGTCTCATCTGCTGTGGGTATTTAGCTTGGGTTTGGATTCTCTGGTGTGTAGTAAGATGCTCATGCTGAATGGAGCATCTCCCCTTACCGGGATATTTATAGCATCTCTCTTCCGCCCACGCAGATTGTCTGATGTGTAATAAGGGATGATACACTACAGTTTGGAAGGTGCTAATAATGTCTCTCCTCTGTTTGACAGTCTGTTCCCATGAAATTTATAGACTCCGACTGTCTCAGAGACCTCTGTCTCTCTGTTAGATCAGGTTGAAATCTGTTTGCAGTGTCAGAAGTTGCTGGGGAGTGGGCAGAGGACAGAGCGATGCAGCAGGATTGCATATGCTTTGCACTTCTTAGGAAATCAGGCTGAAAATGTGCCCAGCTCTGTTCCCTGCAGATCTGGGGTGGGGGACAGCTGCGGCTCAGATCACGAAATTGCGAGTTTGGGAAAACAGGCTGGTTGTGTGGGAGGAAGGCGATGAGCTCAGAGGCTGCCCGGGAGAACTGCTCTGCCCCCAGCTATCTTGTGCGGGGTGCCGTGCCGTGCCGTGCTGTGCTGTGCCGTGGGCTCTTCAGGCACGTTCGAGCTGCCCAGGGCGACAAGCGCAAGTGCAGAGCACGGCCTCTTGTGGAAAACAGCCCTTGAGGATGGTAAACGAGCAAGCCCGGAGCTCCTGGCTGGTGTGAAGAATTGCCTGGCTAAAGGATAATAAATGCCACAGCAGGAGACAGAGCATTTCTCTGAGGCCATTCATCCCCTTTATCACCCCGCTAACAAGCCCCAGAGCGACTTTAGAGAGACTTCTCTGGAGCAGCACCATCCCTCAGCCATGCTGGTGGCTGGGTGCTGGGGGTCAGGAATACATCGTGTGGCAGGAGAGCTCAGCGGGAAGCCACAGAGCACCCACCTCCCCCCCCCTCCCCCCCCAAAAAATAACAGCCCCGAGTTTGGGTGTCAGCAGTAGGGACTGTGCAGTGGCTCTGGCTTTGCTGGCACGGAGACCGTGCCCTCCTTTGGGCCACACGTGGTGCCACCTGAGAGATCTGGATGCAAAAGCCAAGCATCCATCTTTTTTTAAGTACTTCTGGGCAGCAAGGGCCCTGCAGCACCTTTGGGAGGATTGCTTTATCCTAACTCCCAGCTTGTCTAAGGTTTAAGATTTATAAGATTTGTACAAGACCCAACAGGAGTTTGGGGCCGCCGGCACAGAGGTAAGTTGGTTCTGCTTCACTTGCAGCACAGCTGAGTCTGTGCGTGAGTCTTGTGCGAGGAGGAGAGGGCAGGACTGATGTGTTCCTCGTAAGAGCTAATAAAAGCTAATTCATCCCTTTGCTCCAAGACAGTAGGAGGCATTAGTGGCTGGCTGAGTGCCTCCTCCACTGCGGCAGCGTGCTGGGTGCCTCCGCCTTCCCCCTGCCTGGGAGCAAAGCATGTCCTCCCGTGGAGGGGAAGGCAGCTCTGTCAGCAAGAGCTGCGCGGTCTGCGACTGCGTCAACAGGCAGCCCGCCGTGCTGTCTGTCGCTGGCACCCCTCCTGGGAACTCAAAAAAACAGGCAGATAACCCAGTCAGAGGTGGGTCTTGGAAAGAGGGTGGATATCCCCCGGGCAATTTCCCATGCTGGGCTTCAGCTCCCAGCAAGCGCCTCCGCCCCAGGGCTTGGGCCACAGCTGGTGGGAGCAGAGAGAAGCACCAGTCCTGATTTGATTGAGCTACGGGATGACCCAAAAAGGGCTACGGCCGCCTGTGCCCCAGTAGGTGACCAAATAGGCTGGAATACCTTCAGCAAGGACCTCGAGTGCTCACCTGTGCACAGGGCGTGCAGGTACGTGGCATGCCACCCTGCGTGCTCACCTACCCAAGTGTCTGGGGCACTGCGCACAGTGGGTGAGCGTTAGGTAGAGCTAATTGCCAGTAATTGGAACTCTTCTCTTCTTCCTTCTGTCTGTTTTCTTAATTTCTCCTTTTCCTTCTCCTCCAGGTTTAGCTGTTGGAGGATACGTCTTGTGTAGTCCACGGTAAGCACCCCACAGCCAGTGCTAGTGGCAGGCAGGGTTGGGGAGGCAGCAAGGAGAAAGGAAAGCAAATAAGGAGACATTGTGTTGTGCTTGGGTGTCCTCAACAATGCTGGTGGTTTTGTAGGGGCAAAAAAGGAGGAGAAAACCTGCAAAGCCTTAGAGGTGGAGGGTGCAGAGAGCACCATGATGGGCAGCTGGGTTGTTCCAGTGAGGGCAGAGCAGGAGAGCAACAGTTGGCGGGGATGGGCTGGAGCATGTTTGCAGAGCTGTGGTTCTGGAGCAGAGGAGAAAGATTGGTGTGTCACGGAGCCAGGCGTCTCCTTGTGTGCGAGCGGCACACCAGCCAGAGGATTGTAATCCTAATTTTTTTCTCTCCATTCTTTATCGGTAGGTCTCCAAGCATTTTAAAAGGAAACTAACACAGCGTCTCTCCCAGGCCCCTGCGCTGACCAGACTGATGCTGGCGAGCAATTTGGAGGCCAGTCATGTCCCACAGGGTGGCTGCAGGACACGTTGCCTCGTGTGGCCGCCGTGATCAGCTGGACTGCTTCTGGGGAGGGGGGCACGCTGGCACGCGAGATGGCCCTTCAAAGTGGCGCTGAAGTTAGGGGGGTGCTCTCTGATCCCGGTCCGTGAGGCCCCCGTTCCTGCCCTGACCTCCCCGTGCGTTACGGGAGGAGTTTGCTTTCAATCTGGAAACATCTGGCGCTTTCTCTTCTTTTGCCAGCACCATTAAATGTCGCCTTGGAGGGAAACACAATACATCACCTTCCTCGTGGGCTGCCATTCAGCCAAGAGTAACAGAGATTAGCCTTCAATCACACGGGAGCTGGAGCTGAAGGAAACCTTCCCGAGGACACGTTGGAGAAACATTTTCATTAGCAGAGGAGAACTTGACAGAGACGAAGGGCCCCTTCACCTCGACTGCCGGACCTCTCCCCTGCCTGGCGTTAACAGGACAGGGAGATGCTAACGGAGGAGCTGGTGCCAGCTGCAACACTTTAAGTGCTGTTTGCATCCAGATGTGAGAAACAGCTGTGACACAGTGAGGCAGTGCTTTTATAGCCTGGTGGGGGTGGCTTTGGTTTTTTTCCTGCCTATCGATGAACACTCCCTGCTGGAAGCAAACTGGCTCTTTCTGTGCCATCAGTTGAACGGAGGAAATGGGTGCTAGGTTTTGAGCTGCGTACCTAAATGTGTACCCTAGCATGGGCCAGAAAAAGATGTCCTTGGGTGATAAGGACCAATAGGTCCAGGAGGTATTGTGCAAATTTAACAGGACTGCCTTTGTGGTAGTGGAGGCTTTCTCTGCTCTATGGAAAGCTGTTCCACAGCCCACTGTTGCAGGTATCTGCTCTTAGTCTGCATCCCCCCAGGGCAGTCAGGATGCCCAGGATTCGCTTCTGCTGTTGAACTCTCCCTTGTGTGGCAGAAACACACCCTGGGCCCCAGCTGGGTGCCTGGCACAGACCTGTCTGTCCTGGTTACTGGGAATTAGCCAGCAGGATCCCTGCGACCGGCGTCTGCCGTCCTCCCCCTCGCCTCCCTGGGGCTGGCGGGCTCCTGACAACCGCAGGTTCCCTCTCTTTCACTCACAGCTGAAGGATGCCTTGCCTGGTCCTGTCTTGCAGGTTGGAAGAAAATCGTTCTAATTTGTGTGGCACATTCCTTTCAGGGGGGAGGGAGGGAAGAAAAATAAAAAAAAACAACAGAAACTCTGGCCATTCTGGGTATTTTTAGCTCTTTGCAAAGGACCGTTAACATATCTCTCTCTTTTTTTTTCTTTTTTTTTTTGTTTGTTTGTTTTTTTTTTTTTTTTTAACTCCCTGAAGATCATTCTCCCTTTGGGGCTGCCTGCAATACTGCATTAACATCACATCTCTGTGGTGAAGGTAAGCTGGTGCTCAGCTCTCCCCAGGAGCTGTCATCTCTCCTTGCTCTCTGGGTGCCCACCACACACACAACCCTCTGAGAAGAGTCTCCCTGGCTGGGAGGGCGACAGGCTCAGAGATGTTCATGTCTTCTGGCATGGGTTTTATCAGGAATATGATTTGAGCTTCCTGAGAGGGAGGTGATGTAACCTGGCAGCTAGAGCATTGGTTTGGGACACAAAATCAGGTGGCTACTGGTTTTGGAGCATTCTCACATTAAGGTACCTCTCACTTCCCCCTCCTTCCTTTCAGAAGTGAGAGCAACCAAAATTAGAGGAAAACCTGGCTCCTGAGTATTTTTCCTCCCCGATCTCTTCACCTGGCTTATTTTCCTTTTTCTCCTACAATCTCAGCTGGCTGAGTTGCAGTGCCAGCCTATTGAAAGGAAAGGCACGTGCTGGCTTACGGAGGAAGAGAGACCTGAGACAGGATAAATCTGGAGGCAATGAGATTGGGGGAAGGCAAGTCAGCTGCTCTGACACTTTTATTATGGAGCCAGGCTGCTTGGGAATGAATCTTTCTTGAAGCATATGTTGCTGGATGACATTTCTACCAGGTCTCGGCAGTAACCTCCAGCAAGCCTCAGTGCCCAGCCCTGTGCTCGCCTGCTCCCAGGGCAAGGGGAGCAAATTTCAGCTGGAAATACCACAGGCAGCAGGGCTCAACGGTGCTCGATGCACCTCTGATGAGTCTGAAAGCACCTGGACTTTAGCACCAGGAATTCTTCAGGCTTTGGTGACTTTAGCTTACAGATGCACATATTGTTTTACAAGGGAGGTGTTGGCTTCTGCATGTGTTACTCATTTCAGATACAGCAGAGATCAAAACGAAATTCTCCTTGGAGTTGCCCAGAAGGACGGATAACTGCAAGGAAGGATTCCTCCATGGCTCTGGAAAAGGAAGGTCTACTTTCTTGGTAACCTGGTGATGAGGTACTGGCTCTGCTTCATGCAGAGGCTGGAAGCCAGGGGAGATTTGGGGTTACAAAGAGGGCTGGGCAGAATTTTCTACCCTCTCTGCTCCTTTCCTGTATCACTGTCAATTTAGATTTCACATTTAAAGGTGATGTTATGGCTGGCGGTGCCAAAACCAGAATGCCAGTGGCAGAGGTGAAATCTTTCCCTCTGCGAGGGTGCGTCTTCCTTTCTCTTTCCCTTGGCTTGCATCAAGAACGGCTGGCTCCCAGTGCCAAGTGGGGCATGCATACGTGCTGCCCACGGGTCAGTGTATACTGTGCTGAGCATCACTTTTCCTTGCTTTTTGCTAAGCAGCTCTTGTGTCACTGGTGCCTCTTTGCTGCGTGGTGACCGGGGACAGAGGGTGAGCCCTTGTCACTCTCTGAGACACATGGGGAGCTGCCGTGTTTGCCATCATGGGGAGCATTGTGAGGAGTGGTCCTTTGCTGTTCTGGCAAGAGATCTGCCAGGGATGTCCCTTCAGAGCCCTGGGGACCATCCGTGTTCTTCGGGGGCCAGGCCCCAGCTAAGTCAGGGTCTGAGGGGCAGGAAAACGTGTTAGTGGTTAACGTTCTCTGCAGGCTGTCTCTCACCTCCTCTAAAAGGGAGTTAATCTGGTAGAAAAGTGCCTGTGCCCACACTGCTCCAGCAGCCCCTCTGCCAGCCTCCTGTCCTCGAGGGCCAGTTCAGCAAAGCCTTAGTGCTGCTCTGGGTCCAGCTTTCATTTTCCAGCTGCTTACAGAAGAGAGAATGAAAGTAGCTGCTGCTGCCAGGCCATGCTAGAAAACAGAGGCAGGGGATGGGCCTCTTTGTGCACTTAAAGATCCAAGAGTTTAATCTGATTCTGGTTCTCTATTAGCCCTGATCCTGTCTTGCGTCTTTTCCAGCTGGTGCCTGAGCCTGTCTTTGTTTTGTGGGGTTTTTTTTCTTTTTCCCCTTTTCCCTCACCTTATGAAAAATGGCTTTGCCATCTGTGTCTGTCAGGAGTCCGCCGAGCTGGGTGTACGGCTCAGTGAATATACAAATGTGCGGTTGGATCGTGGCCCCCTCTGACAGGCCAGAGATGAATACCAAACGTGCAGGAAGACGAGCGCGTTCCCTTCCTCTGCTGCTGCTGCCTCTGATGGTTGTTTTTCTTATCCCAAGGAGGTGTGAGAATCGCCTTTGGGAGCAGTGCTTCCTTCTGCTCTGGTTCTGCCTTGCCAAGGTTCAGTTCTCTGCCATCCACCATCAGACGAGTCCTCTCCTCGCTCCCACATCTCAGCTGCTGATGGGAATGCTGGGGAAGGGGTAACTGTTTTACCCTGCTTTTTCCTACCATCCTTTTCCTTTTCCCTTTTGCATCTCACCTCCCAGGTCCATTATAAGCCAATTGCCAGGCTGGGGCTTGAGGACACTTGTCTTCGCTTGGTGGTCCAGGTACTTTTTGAGAGAGGTAAGGATGAGTTAGAGGGGAGGGGATTGTCTGACCTTACCCGAGTGGCTTAAAATGTAGTTTGCAATGGAGGTTTTCAGCAGTGTTGTGCAGGACTCCACGGACAAAGTGCTGAAGGCACTTAAGCGCTCCTACACATCTCAGCCTCACTGCATCCCCTTTCCCTGCCGTAGGTGACCAGAGCTAAGGGGGCTCTGGAAGGAGGAACACACCGGCTATGAGGTGCTCAGATGCCGTAACTCTGCAGCATCACCCAGGTACCCAAAGGGAGATGACAACTTGCCTTGACACCCGTGGATCTGCTCACCTCCTCCTGCCTCTCGGTTTCCTGCACTCTGGTGCACGAGCTGCTTCCCTGGCCTCAACGTACGAAGAAGCTTTCGGCCAGGTGGGCTCCGAGGAGCAGGCAGGCGGAAAATGAAATGAGTCTCTCCACGCTCTTGCCACAGCTATCTGGTCAAGGAGGGTAAGTTTCTGGGAGGGCAGACCCCTGCTTTGGCAGGAAGAGAGAGTAGGCAGCTTGAGATGAGCTGTTTTTTTGTTTTTTTTTTTTTGACAAGCAGATGGATGTTCAGCGGGGGCCCAAGAAAACCCTCTCGCTTCAGGCTAGCTGCGAGCCCTCCGAACTAAAGCGTTGTGCTGACGCGAGAAAAAGCATCGCTCCGTGGATGCTCAGCCTAAATTACCTCTTCCAGGCGCCTGATTCAGGACGCAGCGACCCTCCCCTCCTGCCACTAACTCCCGGGAGCAGCCAGCTGCGTGCTCACAACCGGGCAAGGATGCGGCAGGAGCCGCTGAGCGGCGAGGAGGGAGGAAGGCGAGCGAGATTCCTCTGGCGTCTCCGCACCGCGGGGCTCTTGGCGAGGCAGCGCTCGTCTGCTCTGAAAGCTCTTAGTGCTCCCGCAGGTGGGAGCCAATTTGTCTGCTTTCCTGCCCAGGTGCCATCTGTTTGTAGGATTGCCTGTGTGGTGGATGAGCACGGCGGGGATGGCGAAGGGAAGGGGGCTGCCGGGGTGGGAGAGACGAGCCTAAAACTTTCCCCGGGTAACTTCAGCGCTTCTGGCTGCCGTTGCTCCCTCTCCCCTGCATCGCAGCAGGGAAATCACAGCCTGTCATTTGCTGTTCCTAGAGCGTGATCGGGAGCTGAGGCACCACTAATAGCAAGCTATCATTTTAATGCTAATTTCTTACTGTTAGCTCAGGCCGGGGGAGGCTCAGCCTGGGTGGAGGGAAGCCACTAGCAGATGGAGAAGGGGGGGATGTGTGGGGACTGTTCTGCACCCCGAGAAGGAACTTCCAGACAGCAGATGATTAACCACCACTGGGAAAACGGGTAGCAGTCACTGGGGTCAGTCTCTGGTGGACGTGGGAGGAAGCGAGAGGGACGCTTTGTTCCAAGTCATCTTCCTGTAGGGATTTCTCAAGTGCTTCAGGCTTTGGCTTGAATTTGGTGTTTCCTGCTTGTTGCCAGCCCTCAGTGCATTGTGACCCAGGGGATGCTCAGAGAGCTGGCAGGACTGCAGCTGGTGGCATGGTTATCCTTTTAACAAAGGAGCCGAGCAGAGTTGGGTTTAGCTACTGTCTTTTTGTGAGGAGCTTCCCAGTTCAGGAGTCTGGACATCCGTGTTGGGCGGTGGGCTTCAAAGCAGGGAAATTTTGAAGCCATTCTTGAGATACCCAAGAGTGAAATAAAGAAACTTGCCCTTTCGCCATGGGAACAAGCTCAGCTGCCCCAAGCTGGAGAGCTGTCAGGAGAAACCAGGGGCTGAGTTTGGAGTAGTGAAGGGAACTGAACCATTTCCCTGCCCTTTCGAGAGGTGGGAGTTCCCACATCCAACCTCTTGGTCAGTCTCCTCTAGCCATGCTTACCAAGTGGAAGAGCCTGTGCTGCACCCCGGGCTGGTGTAGTTGCCTGGGGAGTTTGAAGAGAGGTGACTGGTTGCAGTAGGAGCGTAGGACCTGTTTGGGATTATGTTGGTGGCTCCTCTACTTTTTCTAGATCTGCTCGGAAACCTTGGGACTAAAGGGACATGAGCTCAGATGCTGTGCCTGGCTGGGAAGAAACTGGTTGCCTACTACTGAGGGAAAGCATTGTTTTAAGACAAAAGCCCAGTAGTCTCCTCATCTGTGGTGTGACACATCTCCTGAAGACTCACCAGCCTGTGCTGATCTAGACCATTGGCTTCATCATTTCATATGGATTTTTGAAAACCCCTTAAAGACCGTTTTAAAACTCTTTTGGCATCTAGCAGAGAGGCAATGGAAGGACAAAAGCAGCCATGATAAAGGGAAGGAAAACCAGGTTAAATGACAAAGGGATGGGAAGCCAGGAGGGGACCATCCTGCCAGGACGACACTAGCACAAGGCTACATTAGCAGAGCAGCATTGCTCGCTGTGGTTATCAACTGTCAGATCCATCCCGGGGTGGAGCGTGACTCACTATTTTTTTAGGGAGCTATTTCCATCTGAAAAAATGGCTCCTGTATTTTCTAAGAGCCTCTTCCCCACCGTGGGCGAGGAGAGAAAGACAAAAGTGAAGGGCTACTTTTTCCTAGCTTGAGGAGAATCAAACTTTCCCTCAGGTAGCTGAGTGAGGAAATCAGCGCCTTACGTATTCCCAGGAATAATACAGTCAAGAAGTTGAGGGGAAAAAAATAAAATAAAATAAAATAGCGTTGCTTTTTCCCAGTTCAGCACTCTGAATAATGAGCCTGCAAGCCGGAGGGAGAGCTCCCGGGAGAGGCGCCTGTGTACGGGAGATGGACACAACAAGTGTCTCGGACGGGCCGATATCTGAAGCGATCTCTCTCTAATTTTCTACATCAGTGAGAACCCGGCACGGCGCCATCAATCACAGTCAACCTCCCCTCGGAAAGCCACCTCCTGCCTCGCCGCACTGCCGCGTCCCCCCCCTCCGCCTCTGCCCCCGGCCGGGGACCGCGGGCGGCCCGGCCAGCAGCGCCCACGGGCACGTTCTCTCCCAGGGGGTTTCTTCTTCCTCGCCTTTGAGCCTGCTTGTGTTTCTGCCTTCCTCCACCTCCCCCAGCACCTGTTCCTTTATTTCCAGACTGCGGCCCCCCCCTTCCTGGAGTCAGAAAATCCCAAATATTCCTTTTATCCCCAGTGAGGAGAAGGTGTGGGGCTGCCTGTCGTGGGATAAAACCCCCGCACGCTGCCTGGAGGAGGGATGGGGGTGGTTTTGGTGCCTCCAGTGCTCATGTGGGGAGGGGGAGCTTGGACTGTACAGCGACCCTGAGGCTGCTCCTGCAGCAGCGGCACGTTCCGGGGATTGCTGGTGCCTGGGCTGGCTCCTTCACCCCAGCTCTGAGCACGGAGCACCTAAGGGAGGCATCTTTCATGCAATGCAGCAGCTCTTGGTCTCT